CGGCGCTCAGCGGCGAGGGCGATCAAGTGACGGGTGAAGAGGGCTGGGGCCGCGGCTGGGGCTGAGGGGGTCTCCCGAGCGCTCCTGCCGCTCAGCCGCGGCGGGGGGGCGGGGCGGGGCGGGGCGGGAGCGGCCAGGCAAGGCAGAACGCGAGGCATGGCTGTCCGCAGGGCGATGGCCGGCGGCCCAGGGCTGGTGCCGGCCACCGCGGGCTCGGCAGCGTGGTGTGCGGCACTGGGAGGCTGCCGGCTGGGTGAGGGCCGTGCCTGCGCCCGTCCCTGGGAGGTCCTCGGGGCACCCCGGAGGGCAGAAGCGTCCCGCTGCTTCCCGCGGGAGGCTGGGGACGGGGACGGCTTCTCGCATTTTCAGACCTACGTGCCACGCAAAAAGTTACACGGTGCAGAACGCTCTGTGGGACGTTGCTGTCCCCGCAGCCTCTCTGTGCTTCCGGCTGATGGCTTTTGTTGCGGGGGCGTTTGGAAGGCAGTGCAAAGGGAAGGCGTTTGTCCAGCCCACCGGCCTCGTCCTCCGCTGCTGCCGCGGCGAACGCTGTCTCTGCAAGCGCTCATCACCAGCCTGGGAGCGGTCCCTCAATAACTGGGTAACCATCGCAGAAACACAACACTTCCTGAGCACCTCGGTCAGAGCGTTGACCAAGGCAGTAAAGCCAAAGTTGCTCTCAGCTGGTGGTGTGGCGGTACCGCTCCTGCGGCATTGTTTGTGCATGGGCTTCTCTTTACCTTTGGCTCCACTTAATCTCTCATTTGGCAAAACAACACAGTACTCCTCTCCTTTGTCTGTCTCCATCTCCAGTTACTTGAACTTGCTCCAAAGACTGCCAAAGGCCACGGGAGGGCCGGGGAAGCATCCTGGCAGCGCTTGCACTCTGGCTGCCTGGAGGCGCTGCTGCAGGTGCTCCACAAAAAGGCGCAAGACCTCCAGCCATGCTCCTCAAGCCCGGAGACGGGCCAGGCCTTGCGTGCGAAGGGCCGCACATGGGGGAGCAGGGCAGGGGAGCAGCATGCCTTCCCTGCACCCATCTCCAGTGGCTGCATGGCTTGGCAGCTCCCGGAGTCACCACCGACGGGGCAAGGCTGGCCGTCAAAGTTGGGGAGTGTAACCAGCTCCAGAAAACATCCCCACTCTTTCCCACAGGGAGCAGCAAGTCTGGCTGGTGGGCGAAAGCAAATGTGGTTACATCTAAAAACTGTTGATTTCAACAGAGTGGCTCGAGATTCGTAAACGCCTTTGTGCAGGAGCGTTACAGGCTGCACAGGGGTAGCAGGAACTAAAGCTTGGGTTTAGGGTTCTGCTGCTGTAGGGGAATGGAAACCAGAATTTCACTTGCCCCAAACCAGTTCATACTTGTCTTATGGCAACTCAGAGTTCTCCTCATAAACATGCCAGAGCGGGTGCGATGATTCAGCTTACTGTGGTTTTATGTCCTAAAGTGCTGATCTCTTGCCACTGCTCCCGCTTTTGAGAGTTTGAAACTGCTTGTGCTATTATCTCGATTATTTTTTCAATTATTTATATAGGCGGTGTGGGAAAAGCAATGGGAGTGATTACACTTGAAATGAGAACTCTGCTTGGATGAGTTTTTGAATCACTTAACGCTGTGCCTAAACTACACCATCAGGCAAATAGAGGGAAACTCCCAAATGGCACAAAGCTTTTGCTTCCACTTCCCGCACCACATGCCAGCCCTGGGATCGCCAACCAAGGTGCGGCAGGGCTCCAGTGCTCCCAACTGCCTCCTTTCCCCCCACCCAGATCAATTTTCTTCCCCTGCAGTATTTCATGAGACCAAGGGTCTGGCTGAATAGCAACTTGAGTGAAAAAAGGCTGTATGTGAAAATTTGCACATTTGTTCCCAAAGATGATAATGCAGCGAGTGCTTTTATTCCAAGAATGTGTTTTTATAAGTCAGATATCCCTGAATATCTTTGGAGCCCAGCAGGTTCTCTACCAATCCTGCCTTACTTCCCAGAAGTACTTCCCCTTCTTCCCTGCTAATGTTACTTTGGCACTGACTTCCATGAGCCTTAGACAGGAGATCAGAAATTAATTTCCAGATCGTAACTGGATATTGAAGCTATTAGAAGGGAAGCAAGTCCCCTAGAAGTTCAGTAAGGGCCCTGATTCCCCATACTCATTCTAAGCCTATATTTACCTGCTTTCCCCTTTCCATATCCATTTTCTAAGAAGATACAGTACCTGGGTATTATAATGGCAGAGACAGAGACTTAGTTTCTTCCACCCTTCCTGATAGTAAAAGGATAATGAAAATGCAACAACAGAGAACTACGGCTGAAACAGTTGCCCAGAACTGAAATGCTTTTTCTCCCAGCAGGGCTAGACCTTAGCGCAACAATAAAGTCGCAAGAACATAGCCTGGTTCAGCTTTCAAACACTGCAGAAGGCTATAAGGACACCTAAGCTGCAGATAAACTTGCAAAGTAGGAAGTAGCTGATTTTAAGGTAAGCAAGAATGAGTTAAAGGTATAAAGAAACACCGATTCAAGTCCATTCTTATTTCATTCAGCTACTTGATAGAGCAGGCATAATGTGTCCAATTATACATAAATCCTGCTACCTCAGATGCAGGTAAGCTCCTTGGGGTAATTAAGAAAAAGTTTAAGAGCAATGGTCCTTGTAATACTTAGAAGATCAAAGAATCAAGTAGATGAGACAGAAATGAGTACAAATTATTTTGAAGCTGTACTAATATACCTCCCTTTCTGAAATCTTCCCTTTCCTGCTTAATATTTAAAATCCTGTCTTAGAAATGAATGTGACAGTTCTTGTGATAGTTCTTCAGACACTGCATGTACCACATAGCTGCGCATGAATTTTGGAGCCATCCGTGATGTGGGGAAAATACTGCATCCCTCACGCAGTCTCTGGTTACCAAGGCAAAGGCAGGTATAAATAGAAACAATCTGATTTTTTTTTAAGCTCTATCTAGAAACCTGTGTTGATGATAACCCTCTGACAGCAACGCCTTATTCCAAATGGTTCTGTTCTACATTTGTGTAGAAACTTCTGGTCGTACATGTTTAATCCTTTCTTCTCTAAATAAACAGCAGCTACTTCTGGTTGTCATTGCACTGAAATATGAAAACTGTCTTTGAAGTAAAGTTTGGACAAATATCTATTTTGCTAAGAGCTTTCATCAACCAAACGAACACAAAGCTTGGAGAAAAACCTGGAAAAGAAAGCCATCTTTCTCCCCAAGTATCACCATAAGTGGCCATTCAAAGGACTAGCAGTGAAATGATTTAACAATTTTTACATTTTATCTTCACCAGTAGCTTCCAGGTTCTCCACGCCAGTGAGATAGATGGGGTGGTGAATCATTTGCTGTTAAATACAAAGGGAATAAACCAGAGATTCATTTGGCTGATGACAGCTTGCAGTTGCAGAATTAAGACAGCCTCAGCTTGAACTGATATGGATCATCTTTGAAACCAATGGGGTGAATGAAAAATAAAAACTTAAGTTTCTGCAGAAACTGACAGGTTATCAGTAGACCTTATAACTTGCTGCTTCAGCAGGATCCTTGCAAAAAATGTTAAGTATTGAAGTAAATGTATGGTCTGATCTAGGGTGTGATTTCCTTTACACAGAGAGTTACATTAAACAATGGAAGTAATGATTAAAAATATGAAGATATATAATTTCATAAGTGCTTGAGCTGAAAGGCAGGAAGTTTCTGGAGCCTCTGAAGAGGGAATAGTTCCCATCAGTAACATTACATTCACGCCTTCAACCTTGCATCTTGATAAACTGTCATACGTAACCGCCATGTTTATTAAAAATGTCTTTTTACAGAAAGATCACTTGGCTTTTAGGGGAATTATTTGACTGATCTCTCAAAGGCCTGGCATGTCTGAAAGCTGACATTATTCTGAAGTTTTAATTAAGGAACAAAAAGCAAAATGAGTAAGCTCTTCTTTGCAAGCAACCACTGCAGTTCCAGCTGTACTTCATTTGCTGGAAACCTCCTCCGCTTGTCACTGCACTTTCAGATGTTCACAGACCTACAGCCTTACCCACATCCCCAGCTGCTGGACTTCCATCCCGTGAGATGCCATGTGTTGGCTCTCATGGTGGGAGAGTCCCTAAGCCACCCGAGCGTGACTGACAGGTGAGCAGGCATCGGTGCACACCGGGACGGGCTGCTCCGGCAGTGCTCCTGTGAGCCCCGTGCTGTGATTTCCCTCCTCTGCCAGCGGCTTCTGTACTCCTTGCAGCCGGTTGATGGTTGTAGGCCAGGGTAACATGTGTCTGGCATGTGGGATACTGGGGTGGGGAAAAACGCTACAAAAACCTCCCT